ATCCCAAACAATAAAGAGCATTTTACCTTAGATGAGGCAAAGCCATGTCTATAAACACAAATCACAAATGTGCCAGGAGAAAAGGAGCCGTGGTAAATAACAGGCCCACGAAGCCTCACAGGCGAGGAGTGAGCTGTATCAGGAGCAACACACATCACACAAAACCCTCCCGGAAGGCAGGCACTGGAAGCGACTCTTGGAAGGTGTAGAAGAAACTATTAGACTCCTAGCCAACAACTCCGTCCCATTCATTCAAATTACTGTGCTTTTTGTTGTTGTTTAAATTAGTAAGTTTATTGTTATTGTGTGTATTGTTGTGGGTGTGCATGTCCCACAACACACACTTGGAGACCGGAGGACAACCTGTGGAGCTGGTTCCTTCCTTCCATCTCTATTTGGGTTCTAGAGATCAAACCCAGGTTGCCAGGTATGGCTGACAAATGCCTAGTCATTTCTGAGATGCATTGTGTGGTCCATCTAGTCTCGAACTCTTTATCCTCCTGTCTCAGTCTCCTGATTACTGTTGCTGCAGGCTTGTGCCGCCATGTCTGCTGCAAGCAATGGTTCCTCTTTTGTTTGTCTTATTTATGTGTGTGAGCTATGGATGGTTGTGAGCCACCATGTAGGTGCTTAGAACTGAACCCTAGTCCCCTGGAAAAGCAGCAAATACTCTTAACCACAGAGTCAGCTCTCCAGCCCCAGGATTCTTCTTTTTAGTGTAAATCAATCAAGGCATGTAGGACTCTCTTGCAAAAATCCAAGTGCAAATCTGCAGACACTGACTTTTCCCTGTAGATGGTAGGGAGAATATTTCCTTTCTGTGACATGTTTATTTAACACGTATTTGTTGAGTGCCTTCTCTATGCCATGAACTATCTTCTACCTTGCTTAGGGGACACATACACACAAGCTCCATGGAATGTACATGTAGAACAGACTTTATTAGGAAAATGTTTTTATAGGATATGATTTATTTATTTTTGACAATTCCATAGATGGAATGGATTGTGATCATAATTACATATCATACCCTTAAGCCCTTTCCCAATCTTTTTTTTTTTAAAGAGTTTGAGCTTAGCTTATTCAGTGGGTTTTGGGAGGAAAGGGAAGGGGGGGAGAGAGAGAGAGAGAGAGAGAGAGAGAGAGAGAGAGAGAGAGAGAGAAACACACACAGAGAAGCAGAGATAGAGAAGGGAGAGAGGAGGGCCCTCTCCCACTCTTGCTGATTCCCTTTATCTCATCTAGTGCTCCCCCACCCCTCCCCTGTTCTCATGTCAAACCCCTCCTCCTCCCTAACCCCAGGGAAAACTCACATAAACGGAGAGGTAGCAGGAGTGACCTCACCTTTCATCATGCAGTTTAGGCAAAGTGGAGATGGGCTGTGTGGCCCTGGGCCAGGGTGTGAGTGCAAATGCTGAGACTTGGCCCGTGAGATTTGATGGATATTTATAGTGTGGGGGAGAGGAACAGGGAATGATAGAGGGTGCTGCTCTGTTAAATACGAACACTTGGCACCCAGCAATCGTTCTTCCATTGAACTAGACCAGGTCTGCTGAGAGCTCTCTGCTAAGTCCTGGCAAGCTCCCATCAGGATCAGCCCCTTCCCAGTCCAGCCCCTGGAACTCGAGACTCTTTTAATGTAATGCTCTGTGTTATCTTTAGGTGACATTAGATTACACTAGGTTTTACGTGTTTGTTCTCTAGTGGAGTGTCAACCAAATCTGATACAGCTGGCCAAGTGGGGCAAGACATACCTAACACTGAGAAGTCATAGAAGGCTTCTGTGGCGAGGTCTGTCTGTAACTTTAGTAGAAAATGGATTTTTTTTGCATCCTTTTTGAACCCAATCTACTTCCACTCCATGGCCATCAATTACACCTGGTTGCTATGCCTCCAGGGTAACCTTTTTGCCCTTTCTTGGCTTATGGATTTCTTGGCACAGGAACATGGAGGTTGCCATTTTATAGCAATGTCCTCAATTACCTCTGGGGTGTGTGTGTGAAGGTGTGCCCCATGGCAGTCAGGGTCCAAATCCACGTCTACTCAGGTGTCCTCTGAAGTCATGGGAATTGTTCATTCTTCAAGGTCAAACCAAGCATGAAGAAGAAGGCGAAGGGGGAGGAGAAGGAGGAGGGGGGGAAAGGAGGATAGCGAGGAGGAGGAGGGCAAGAGGGGAGGAGGAGGAAGTGGAGGAGAAGGGGAGGAGGAGGAGAAGGAGGAGAAGGAGGAGATGGAGGAAGAGGAGGAGGATGCACTGTTCCTTTTTATATGAGTGCTCATGAAAAAAATCTAAAGAATGTGCACTACCTCCTTCACACCCTACCTTGCACTGATTCCTGGATACCATAGCAGGGGAGGCCTGGCTACAATGTAAAATAACCAAACACACACACAAGAGCTTTGCTGAAGCTTGGCAAGAGTCTATGAACCACACAGCCTCATGGGTAACTTCATGGCTTTTTTTGTTGACCAAGGTTTCTGTCCTACCTGGTCCCTCTATGTGAGCCATGCTACCCACAGCCGTTTAGTCCCAAAGAAACACACAGAGGTCTACATTAATCACAAACTGGTTGGCCTAGTAGCTCAGGCTTCTTATTAACTCTTATATATAATATTATATATATTAGCCCATAATTCTTGTCTGTGTTAGTCACGTGGCTTGGTACCTTTTTCGGCGAGGCAGCCACATCTTGGCTTGTTCTGTGTCTGGCTTTTTCTCTCTTTTCATGACTTGGAAGAATTTCTTGTCAGGTGTTCCAGTGCCTTCTGGAAGCTCCTCTGCTGTGATTCTGTCTGGGGCATAAACCTAGCTGGCTGCAGCTGAGATGTTCATTAGTATTTCCATTGCTGTAAAATGTGGTCGCATCACAGGAGTGTGTAGAGCAGACACAAAATTGAGTTTGCCTTGAAGGTATTGCATCTGATTCACACGAGTCCCACAGTGTTCTGATCCTATATGGTCCTAGCACCATGGATGTAGTTAGAAGGTGATTGGATCTTAGCTGTTGGCTTTCACTGCTTGAAGTTCAGAGCACTTCTCAGAGATTAGCAACAGTTCTTTATCACACTGAATGGAGCTGCTGCCCTTGAAGGTAGATGATTTTATCAATGAACTTTCCTGTTTTCAGGTTTGGGCCTTGTAGATGAGGTTCCAGACTGAGCCAACAGTTTTGGTAGAGCAGTGGTCAAGACTACCTCTTAGGAGTCACAGGTGTTCAGCCAGATGACTTATGGTCTTTTCTTTATGAGAAATGCTGCTTCCGTTTCTATGCAACCAGCCGAGACTTAAGTCACCCTCTGGAAATTTAAGTCTGAGAAGTCCTATTGCAGGATTGGGTTTGCTCAGTGCCATGATGCAGGAAGGTCATTAGTTAATTATAATAAACTGCTTGGCCCTCATAGGTTAAAACATAGGTGGGAGGAGTAAACAGAACAGAGTGCTAGGAGGAAGAGGAAGTGAGCTCAGACTCAACAGCTCTGCTCTCTGGAGCAGAGGCCATGCTCTTCTCTCCCGGGAAGACACACATGATAAAGCTCCGACCCAGGATGACGTAGGCTAGAATCTTCTACACATCTTATTAGAAATGGGCTAGTCCAGGTGCAAAAGTTAGCCGAGAAGAGGCTAGAGCTAATGGGCCAAGCAGTGTTTAAAAGAATACAGTGTCCATGTAATTATTTTGGGGCATAAGCTAGCGGGCGGCCGGGTGCCAGGAATGTAGCCCCGCCGCTCATATTACAACAGTGCCATGACTTTTGGTGAGCTCATCTGTGTCCCCTGGGGCCCAATGACATTGGACAGTAGTGGCCATTTAGCAAAGAAAGAAAGCTTTGTCGTTGTCAAAGGTCTCAAGTGGATGAGTTGTGGTAGATTCTTGGTTAGCAGAACTTTTCCAGCCACCCAAAAGCTGGTCCTAGAGATCCAAGAATTCAGTGAGTTTGGCTGTGATGCGGGGTTGCTGCTGCCTGGATTGCTTCCAGCCCGTCCTGTTCTAGCAGTAGGTACTCAAAGAGCATCTGGCGGCCTAGCGCTGTAGAGTTTTGTCATGGATATATAAAGAGAACAGTCATGTGTCAAGTTGTACGCACACACAAAGTGTGTACTGTACATGTGTGTGTAAAAGTCATAAAACTAGAAAGGAGGCTATGAGAGTGGAGGAGGAAATCTTAGTGGGGGAAGGAGGAATATGTCTGACATGAGAGCTGAAGAAAGGCTATCTGGGGGAGAGAGAAGACTAACAAGGGGAGGCAAGGGATGGGGAGGTCAATGAGGGAAAGAGACAGTAAAGGCAGAGGCTGGTGCCATGTGGATGGAAATGCAAAAGGAACGCATTGCTTTGCCTGCTGAATTAAATTTTCATTTGCAAAAATTGAGTTAGTCTTCTCAATTAGTCTAGTGAGTTCTCAGCCTTCCTACTGCTGCAGCCCCCGACCACAGAATTATTTTTGCTGCTACTTCATAACTGTAATTTCGCTACTGTTGTGAATCATAATGTAAATATTTTTGGAAATAAGAGGTTTGGCAAAAAGGTCATCACCCATAGGTTAAAAACCTCTGGTAGAGAGAAAGCTTGGAGGTTAAGAGCCCTGGCTGACTTTCCAGAGGACCCGCGTTTGATTCCCAGCACCCACAAAATGACTCGCAACCTCTGTGACTCTAGTTCCAAGGAATTTGATGCCCTCCTCTAGCCTCTTCAGGCACACACGAGTGCACAGATATATATGCAGACAAAACACACATACACTATACATATACACACATTTATATTATATTATATTATATTATATTATATTATATTATATTATATTATATTATATATATTTATTTGCAATGCTGAGGCTATAGCTCAGGTCCTTGCTCAGGCTAGCGAGGCATATTACCACTTCCCAAGTCCTGATTTAATTAATTTGCAGTGAACTTTGGAAAATAGCAATGTCTGGTATCTCTGGGATCTTTAGTCACTGTTAGATGATGAACTGAATTGCTATGTCTTCCTTTGTAGGTTCATCCGAGACTGGTTTTCAGAGAGGAAGCAGGTGGCCAGCGTGGATTTCTCGACTGTGTTACCACGTTCCATTTCTCTTTATATCTTCTCCTTCCTGAATCCGAAAGACCTGTGTGCGGCTGCTCAAGTCAGCTGGCCCTGGAAGTTCCTAACGGAACAGGTTTTTCCCTCTCTGCTCCTCTCACGTCCTAGTAATGGGACACAAATGCAACCATGATCTGTAATGGGGTGGTCTGGATGGCTTTCTTCCCTGAACTGCAGTGGAGGGGGCCTGCAGTGGTTACGTGCCCCTTAGGAGGAGGTATCAGAGGACTGGGGAGAAGCTGGCTCGGTGGGTAAAGGTGCTTGCAGCAGATGTGAGGCCCCGAGTTTGATCCCTAGAACCCATGGGAGGCTGGGCATGGCAGCTCACATCTACAATGTCTGTGTTCCTCCAGCGAGACGGGGGATGGAGACAGCGGAGACCTGGTCACTCATGGGCAGCTAGCCTGGGGGACCACAAGAGAGGCCTTGTTTCAAACAAGCTGGAGGGTAAAGGCTAACTCCTAAAGCTGTCTTCTGACCTCCACTGGCACACACGCACCTATAGTTATTCACATGAACACACACACACACATGTGCACACACACACACTTTTAAAAATGGAGATAAGTCAAATTCAGTAACTTCTTTTTTACTTGGAAAGGTTTCCCACCCACCTTTGGTTTCCCAGTTTTCATTCTGAGAATCAAACATGCTAGGTCAGCACTCTCCCGCTGAGCCAAATACCAGCACCAGTAACATGTTGCAATCATGGCTATATACACCATTCCAATCATTAATTTACTCTTATCATGCCTATGAATTATTCAATGTGATTATTATTTAAAAACATTTCATTTGTAGAAGTGCACTATTCTTTTTGAAAATAATGTTTTGAGCTTTCTTAATGGTATTATTTTATTCATGATAAATTAATTCTGGAAAGCCGGTCCATAACCAGAGCTTCTACTGAATCCTTGGCGGACACCTGCCGAGGAACAGAACAGCAGCTAAACCTGATGCCTGTCCTTGCTTCTGCCTTTGCTCTAGGTGTCTCCCCATTGTCTTTTCCGAGAGTTGATCGTGAGTAGACACTCTCTGGCCTCATCTCGTGTATTCCTCCTGTACACCGCACATGTCCAGGGACGACGCTGTCCAGATGTTCACTTCAAACACTAGCTGCGGCTCAGTGAGGGCCTCAAGCACAAACCAGACAACGGCCCTTGTTTTATGAACTGTTGCCAGGCTCCTCAGACTTAGGCTTTCTGATTTAACCCATTATTTATGTATCTTCACTCTTGGCTTCTCTGTAGTAACTCACCCAAGATATGCCCGTTAAAGAGAATATGCTTGGTCGGCATTTGGAAGTCTTTGAGGTTTTATATATATATATACTGTTTTGGTTTTTAGGGAACAGAGAAGTGAGCCCAGGATCTCATATATGCTAAGCAAATGTTCTCCCTCTGAGTAAGCCCTGTCCACAAGCGTGCATTGCTTTTACCTTTGTATGTGTGTGGTGGGGGCACCGGGTAGAGTCCCAGCGCTTCTGTGGAGGGAGCACCTTAGGAGTTTGTTGGTCCTCACCTCTACCTTCTTTGAAACATGATCTTCCACTGTTTACTGCTGAGTCCTCCTGTGAGGTTCAGGGATTCTGCCTTCCTCCGCCTCCTCACTGTAGGAGCACAGACATTACAGACTGAGCCACTGTGTCTGGCTTTACATGGTGTCCTAGTCAGGGCTGTTCTTGCTGCGATGAAACAAAATCAAGTTGGGGCAGAAAGGGTTTTTTTGGCTTTCACTGCTACGTCATAGTCCATCACTGAAGGAAGTAAGGATAGGAATTCAAGAAGAGCTGGAACCTGAGGCAGGAGCTGATGCAGAGGCCATGGAGGGGTGCTGCTTACTGGCATATTTTTATTACGTGCATATACATATATAATAAACATATAGTTGTCCTTGCGTGCCTAAAGCAGACTGGATACAGTCCATCCCTCTTCCTCTAATAGCAAAGTCCACAGCTGCCTGAGAGTTTTATATACACCGGTGTATCCACATGTAATCAGTTCTCTTGGATACTTTAAATTCTTCCACATGTCATTATTTTTAAAATCATATTTAGTACCATGTATATATGCATGAATTGCATGTATTTATTTGTATGTGTATCTATGGCTATGCCTCCTGAGAGATGGGATTATAAGCTTGTACCACCAAGCCTGGCTCCACACTCTCTTAAGTGAGTCTTGCATCATTTTGTCTTTCCATGTTTAAGTCTGGATTTTCTTCTGATCTACCTTTCAGTTTTCTGTTTCTTTAGCTGGATTCTAATGTGCTCTTGCCTACTTATTGAATTTTAAAATTAAGTTATTATCTTTTCCAGGCCTAGAATGTTGATTTGCTTCTGTTGCCAACACTTCCCACTTGGCCCCTTAATATTCCTAGGCATATTAATTATAGGATTTATTTCAAAGTTTGTGTCTGATAATAGCAATGTTTGGCTCTTCTTCACAACTCTCTATAGTTACTAAAAACTGAAAGATAAACAAAGAATTCATGTCTTTCTAAGTAACTGAATTATTTTTGACTGAGTGCAGATATTAGGTATAAAACACTGACGTCATCATCTGGGTCTCTGGATGATGTCATCTTCCTCCAGAGAGAATTTACTTTTGCTTCTAGCATGGAATCAGGCCAGGAACTGACTGCGTAAGAAATGAACTACTTCAAAGCTGGCCTCAGCCCTTGTCATAGTTTGCATAGCTCAGTCTTCTTTTTCTAAAGATTTATTTATTTATTATATATACACTGTTCTGCCCGCATGTCTGCCTGCAAGGCCAGAAGAGGGCACCAGATCTCATAACGGATGGTTGTGAGCCACCTTGTGGTTGCTGGGAATTGAACTCAAGACCTCTGGAAGAGCAGCCACTGCTCTTAACTGCTGAACCATCTCTCCAACATAACTCAGTCTTACTCTTCCTGTAGTGGTTCTCAGTTGAGACCCCTGTGTGGTAACCAGGTCTCTGCTTTCATGAATTTCAGATTGTGTTCTTTCTTCTGCCCTCCTCCTTTCTTTCTTCCTTTTTCATCTTCCCTGCTTCTTTAAAGCTCCTTTACTTTGAAACTGGCAAATGTGGACTGGGAAGTCCTCAGTCATAAGGTGCTTGTCATTCTTGAGGACCTGGTGTCAGTCATAAATCAGGTCTGGTGGTACACACCTGTAATCTCAGCACTCAAGAGGCTGAGGCAGGAACATCAGAAATTCAAGGTCATTCTCAGTTATGCCATATAGTGAATTAAAAAACAAACAAACCAACAAACAAAAAATCTGGCAAATGCCTTGAAACCGGTCTGGGTTTCTTTTTGTTCTGAGATCCTGAGGACACAAAGTTTTTACTGTGCTGGTAGTTTTAGAATGCACACACACACACACACACACACACACACACACACACTCATGCACACACACATACATACACACATTGTCTTCTCTTAAGGTCTTAAGATTTTCCAAGGATGCCCTAGGACTCCAAGGCTCCCAAAGATCTGGAGCACAGGAGCATGAGTGCATGCCATTGTGCCCTGCTTGTTTTTATATTTTGTCTAGATAGTGATTTCAGTGAGTCACATAAAACTCACCATTTTTAATAAGTCAAAAATCTCTGCAATATGAGTTCAATAAAAAAATTCTTCTCTGCGGGAGGGTTGTTCTGAAGCAAAGTATTATACCTGAATTCTCATAACGTAGAGTTAAAGTGACAGAATGCTGTAAGTGTTACAAGATGGCATATATATATATATACACAAATATACTACATTATATACTACATTATATACATTACAATATATATTATATATATAATGTAATGTATACTCACCAAAGAGCATTCTTCATATGGAATAAAATATACTTTATCCTTTTTGTAGAATAAAGTTTAGACATTGAGTCAACAATACTATAAATGGCAGTCTACCAAAAAGAATAAGGTGTGTGTGACTGAAGCCACCATCGTGAGAAAACTAATCTGTCACTCATCCTGCTCTTGTTCTTCTCTGGAGGACTGCTTATGGATGCCCAAATGCACGAGGCTTGGGTGGTTTCTGCCCTATACTCCAGCACAGAATGAATACGGGGCTTGGAAGCACCACTACATTGCTTGTGTGTCCAGCTTGGATTGGCTAACGCCCAGGGAAGCTGCTGCTGTTTATGGGACACTGAATGAACCCAAAACCGAGGATGAGGAGTACAAGGAGAGGCAAAGAGAAAAGTCCCTGAGGAAAATCATTTGGGAGAGAATTGCATTCCGTAAAAGTGAGTAGCATTATAAAAGTTTCTGTCTTACCCAGGACACTGGACAAAAGGGTTTACATCCAGACTCCCATCTAGACAGAGAGCATGTGGGGCTCTCGTCACCATATGCTCAAGACCAGCTCCTTTTTCCGTTATTATACTTTCAGTTAATTGGTAATAAAAACATAATTTCTGATAAAATAGCTAAGGTCAAGCATCCACCTCCATGGCAGTCTACTCCCAGATTTGTAAGAGTATACACAAGGAGGGGATCTGGTAAAATGGCTCAGTTGGCTAACATGCTTGTCATATTAGCCCGAAGATCCTAGTTAAAACTGGTAGTACTCACAAAATGGGGGGGACCTTAGGTAGGGTGTTTGTGCCTTGTATTCCCAGTTCTAGGGTGGAGGCAAGGTCAGAAGGATCCTGGGAGTTTCCTGGCCAGCGCACATAGCCAAGTCAACCTTTAACCGCCACTTGTGTGTTTGCACCCATACATCTGTGCACACACTTGTCCACACGCCTCTGACCTTTCCCAGACACAACTCCCCTGCCCTGTACACATGTAAAAGGAGAAGGAAGTGCAAACACAGTCAGAAAATGAGAAGTAAATTCGGGACAGAAGAATTTGGGCTGGTGAAAATGAGGAGCAAGCATGGGAGTGAGACTTAGAAGAGCGATTGCTTTGAAAGAAGCAAGAAGAAAACAGGCTAAGGCCATGGGCTCGGGGAAGCCTCTGATGTGCACATGTTCTTAAGATACACTGTCAACAGGCTGGGGCTCGCCTTCCTCTTATCCGTCACTCTTCCCTGAGAAGACAGACACAAAATTACCTCCAGCCAAGGACAGAAAGGGATGCAAACCAGTGGACTGGTTATCTGGTTCTCACAAGAAGAACTGCTTGTTCTATGAGCTTTACCGATTGACTCAAAGTGACAGATAGCAAATGAGAAATCCGATAGGAGTGGGTACAAGTGGCTATAGTTCCTGTTTGGAATATTGCCCTGGTGTAGCTTTCTTTTTGATGTCTTGGTCTATGTCAGCTTGTCTGGGAAAAGTGTGGCATAAACAGGAAGCCTGCTGCTGTTCATTTTTCAGAAGAGTTATTCAAAGCTCGACCCCCTTGGCTGAGTGGAACGCGCTGTTCCAGGTCCATGAGCCTGCCCGGTGGTCCTTGGATGCAGAGAGAAGGAGCAGGATTCTATGAAGCTTTGGAGAGGCAGCTTGTTCTGGCATCTTTAGATGCTTTGCCCACGCGGTGAGCAAACTTCTATCTACCGAGGGCTCGGGACTCTCCTGTGTCATGGAGAATTCATTATAGAATTATTTAGCCAACAGAGGGATCTTCAGGAATTGGATGCCTTGCATTCCATGAAATCCCAGAGAAGGAATTAATGACTTCATATTCAAGAATAGCAGCCTTTAAAAGCTTTCTGAAGAGGAAAATATGTAATGTTCAAAACTTATGTCTAATATACTTTTAACCCTATGGTAAAGACATATTGTAGATATCATATATTTTCTAAAGCTGATGAGCAAAAATGGCATTTCCCTACATTTTTATGGAGTAACAGTAACTGCACAATGTCTATGTTAGTCACTTTCCCACTGGCCTAATGAATGCTTAACATAATAAAACTTATAAAGATGAATGGTCTATTTTAGCTCATGGCTTCATGAACAGTTGCTTCCATTGCTTTGGGCCTATAGTAGCATGGAGCATCATGGTGGAAACACATGATAGGGAGGCTTACTCACTTTATGGTGCTCAGGAAGTGGAGAGGAAAAGGTGACATCACTAGGGTCCCATTAGTCCATTCAAAAGCACATCCTCGATGACCCAACTTCCTTCTACTAGGTCCACCTCCTAAATATCCATCCTACCCCTGAATAGCACCATGGACTGGTAACCAAGCCTTTAATACCTGAGGGAAACTGCAGATCAAAATTATAGAAGCATCCAAACAAATATGGACAAACTCCCATTTATATTGGTAATTTAAACACAGTTCTCTTTTCCTACTGAAATTAGAGAAATGGCAGCTGTTTTCAGCAATTCAAGTCATAATATACGAGCACAGTGCCAGAAGGTGGTTCTTTTTTTTTAACTTTATTTTTATTTTATGTGCATTGGTGTTTTGCCTGCAAGTATGTGTGAGGGTGCCCGATCCCATGGAACTGAAGTTACAGACAGTTGTGAGCTGCCATGTGGGTGCTGGGAATAGAACCCTGGTCCTCTGGAAGAGCAGTCAGTGCTCTTAACTGCTGAGCCACCCCTCCAGTCCCAAAGATTCTGTTCTTATTCTACCTACTCTCCTATGTGACGTTTGTAACTTCCAAAACTTGAGTAGCTGCTTAGAAACGAAAAAAAAAAAAAAAGGATTATTTTGCTTTTCACTTTGGATTCCACACTAACATTTTGAATGAAGACACTGAAGTCTACAGGTGACGTGACTCATCCAACTGTCATAAGTACTGGGACCCAAATCCCCACATTCCAACCCTCCTCAGCTTCACCACTGACGTCACATGCAGATCTGGGTTGGAACATTTGTGAGTGTGGCCTTACGTCTCACTCATCTGAGGACACATAAAGAATCTTAAGAGGCATAGGGCATCTCTCATCCTCGGTAATGTGGGGATGGGGCTGTGGAAATAATGGAAATGTTACTTAGGAACCCCTAAGGGCCCAGAAGTGAATTATGAATTGCTTGGCTACCCCTTTTAAAATACAGTTTTGAGCCCTTAGGTGTATCATGGAATTTAAGAGCCCAATAAAAGCTAAGTGAGAGTCAAGAAGCTCTCCCTGCATTCCTCATGTGGAAGTGGAGAGACAAGGGGACAGATTTGGCCAGCCTGGGACCCCTGTTTGTCTCTGTCCCTCGGACTGCTGGGAAAGCTTGAGAACTCAGGGGTGCTGGCTTCTGCTGTCCACCAGTGTTCACAGGATACTGGCACTTATCAAAAGTCATACTAGCGGAGAATTAGGGTTTTATCCCTCCCTCTCATCTCCTACAGAAGCAATCTCTCTGGAAGCCACTCCTCCCCTTTCTTAGTAAAGAAAAATCATCACGGGGTTGGAGGAACCAATGACAGCTCTTCCTGTGCCTTGCAACCGTGCGTCATCCTGATCTCATCGCGGATTCCCGCCTATGAGGTACTGCTGTCCTAGGAGGGACGCCCTTCCCTGGATGGCTTTTTTTTCCATCTAGACTAACAAAATCTTTTGGCTGTCCTGTGTGTGAAAATGATTTATCTTCCGAGAGGAACATTGTCTAATCAAGTGAACATTTACAAGACCCATACAGTCTTAAAAACTGAAAGCAATAAATATAAAAGTAATCAAACTTATTTTGAGAAAGCATGAGAGGTCCAGATTGCTGTGTGAGCAGCTGGTGTCAAAACACTCCTGTTGGATTGCGCTTGTTGCTCTGAAAAATGATAGCCAGCCCAGGCTGGTCTCAAACTCGTGAATCTCCTGCCTCCGCCTCCTTCAGCAAATCCTATGGGGCTGTGCCCCATAATAATTTATTTATTTATTTTTATTTGCATTGGTGATTGCCTACATGAATGTCTCTGTGAGGGTGTCAGCCCTTGGAGTTAATAGACAGTTGTTAGCTTCCATGTGGGTGCTGGGAATTGAACCCTAGTCCTCTAGAAGAGCAGTCAGTGCTCTTAAGCACTGTACATCGAAGAGCGGGAAGAGTGATACTATGAACAAAGGGGTCAAGACCATGATGGGGATACCACAGAATCAGCTGACTTGAGCTAGTAGAAGACTGACAGCTGGGGAACCTGCATAGGACCGAACTAGGCCCCCTGAATGCAGGTGACAATGATGTGACATGTGGAGCCACTGGCAGTGGGACCAGGATCTAACTAACCCAATGCATGAACTGACTTTGTGGAGCCCATTCTCTATGGAGAGATGCCTTACTCAGCCTAGACACAGGGTAGGGGTGCAGGGCCTTGGTCCTGCCTCAAGGAGATGATAGGATAGACTTAACCGACTTCCCAGGGGAGGCTTTACCCTTCCTGAGGAGCTGATTGGGGGTGGGGTAGAGGGAAGATGGGGAGAGCTGGAGGAGAAGAGGGAGGGGAAACTAGGATTGATATGTAAAAATTAATTAATTAATTACTAAAAAAATAGTTGGCATAATGATTAAAAATATTTAAGACTTCCAGAATTCCCAAGAAGTTTAATAATATTATGTGACCAATAGTTTTCAAAAGTGGGCTAGAAGTACTGCTTCATGATCTATTTAAAAATGGTGCCATTAAATCAAAATATGATTATTACAAAATGAAATTATAGCTAGGTATAGTAGTGTGTACCTGTAATCCAAGCATTTAGGAGGCTGAGGCAGGAGGATAGATGAAATTTGAGACCAACCTGGAGTATTAAGTAAGCTAGGACCATATAATGAGACTGTCTCAAAATATAAAAATAAAATGAAATGAAGTTATGTATTTTCATTAATATATATTTAGATTTTAAAATCTACTTAAGAAGTCCATTGCAAAATGGTATTAATTCAATTTTATTGTTTTTAATAAGTTGTGCATAAATCTAGATGGCATGTATAAAAATAAAGAGGGTGGAGGAAAAGTAACCGAAATTGTCCGTACTATTTATCTGCATGATGGGGTTGCAAATGAACCTCCTATTTCCCTCACAATTAGAGAAGAAATAAAGACGTTTAGTTTCTTCCTTCTGTACTTTCTGAAGCAATTCTTCAGCAACGATAGTGTATTGCACATCACCTGGCTTCTTCATCTAGCTCTAAAGCGCGCACACACCGACTCCTACAGCTCCTGTCTCGCTTCCAGATGGTGGTGGAGAGCGTGAAGGTGGGCGTCGTGACCGTGCCCTACGAACACAGCGGTGTGACCTTGGAGGGCCTGCTTCATCTCCTAGACAGAGCTCTGCAAGGGCGGAAGGCACGGAGCCTGGGAATATTTAGCGGTGGGAACAGCCGAGAAATTGACTTACTCCAAGGTTGGTCTGGGGATTGGCGGAGAACAGTCCCACAGGTTGAGTGTTTGCAACGCTTACCCACAAATGTGACCGTCACAACAGCGCTGTTAACTTCTCATTCACTAGGAAAGGTTCATTGTGTCGTCATGAAAAATGTAAAGTAGCTTTTGATGATTTTTGATAATAATTTTAAATATTGTGATTAAAATCACAACATAATGGTTACAATCTTAATCCTCTTTAAGTGTACGGTTTGTTTATTCACATTCTTTTTTTTTTCTTTTTGTTTTTTTTTAAGGCAGCGTTTCACTGTGTTGCCCTGGCTGTCCTGGAACTCACTCTGTAGACCAGGCTGTACTAGAACTCACAGAGATCCGCCTGCCTCTGCCTCCTGAGTGCTGGGATTAAAGGTCTTTATTTCTTCTCTAATTGTGAGGGAAATAGGAGGTTCATTTAAAGGGATAAAAGTTTCTGTAAAGCTTTTCCATCTTGCAAAATTGAAACTCAAGGAACATCTGCCTTCCTTCCCTAGTCTTGTCCCCAATAACTTCCATATCCCTTAAATACAGAAGTGGAATCCCTTGTTTCGTCTTTTGGTGACTAGATTTTCCCTTACACTCTCAGGGTTCATACACTGTACCTGTTGATTTTTTTCTCTTTTAAGGATAAATACTAACCCACTCTATGTATGCGCTCCAGTTTGTTTGCCGCTCGATCCACTTAGTAGTCGTTCCGGTCGCTTCTACTTCTTGGTTGTCATGAATAACGACAAACCTCTTTGGCTCTTGCTTTCAGTGATTATGGAGATATACTTATAAGTATAGTGGCTCTCTTGTTAGTTTAAAAAGCCTCCATACTGTTTTCCATAACTGTTTTTTATGAACAATGTACAAGAATACCAAGTCCTCTGTGCCACTTACTTGCTAAAGGTTTTTGTTTTCATAGTGTCCAATCGCATTGTGTTTTGATTTGCCCATCTCTGTTGATGAATGACGCTGAACATCTGTCTGTCGGGGCCTTGTTGCCCATTCTTGTATTTTCTGAAAACAAGCCCTTTGCTTATTAAAAAGAGGGCTGATTATCGAATAGGTTGAGATGTAGAGATTCGTTGTATGTTATAGATATTAATTCCTTACCAGATATGTGATTTCTGCATAGTCTTCTCTACTATATTGTCAGAGTAGCTGTTCTATTACTGTGAAGACACCATGATCAAGGCGACTCTTATGAAAGAAAGCGTTTTATTGGGGACATGCTTACAGGTTCGAGGTTTAGTCTATTATCATCACGTCAGGAAGCATGGCAGCAGGCAGGCAGCCACGGTGTGGGAGAAGTAGCTACAAGTCTCATCCTGATATATAAGCGGGGGGGGGGGGTCTGGCATGGGCTTTTTGAAACCTCAAAGTTCACCCCCAGCAACACACTTCCAACAAGGTCACATCTATTCCAGTAAGGCCACACCTCCTAATCCTTCTAATTTTTTCAGATAGTGCAACTCCCTGGTGATTGATTAAGCATTCAAACACGTGAGCCTATGGGGGTCCGTTCTTATTCAAACCATCACACTAAGATGTCCTTTATACTTTATGTGCAAAGTTTTGAGTTTGATGAAAGAATAGTAATTACAATGAACACCACGGTAGATAAATTGGTATGAACTTTACCACCTCTGATGAAGTCCCATTTGACTTGTATTGCAAAGGAAAGAAATGGCCGACATAACTAAGTTGTTATGAGGAGATTAAAAAATCTCATCAATATTTACCCCTTTAGAGGATTTTTTACCCTTTATATATAACTTGCATTCCCTCTTGCTTATTTCTAAAGCAGAACTGTTTTAATTTTTTTAACATCAAAACTTCTAATCATGCTGAATGAGAGAAAAGGAAATAAATTGGATGCTCTAGCTTCCAGGGAACTTGTAAAATGACAGTGTAGCAGGCTTTTACTTTAGGCTGCCAGCCCACAAAAAAATGACATAGAGATTTGTTATTAATTATGAAAGCTAGACTTATGCTTAGACTTGTTCCTAACTAGTTCTTATAACTTAAATTAACCCATTTTTAAAATTTTATTTATTTTTATTGAGCTTTACATTTTTCTCTGTTCCCCTCCCTGCCTCTCCCCTCACTCAATATGATGTTTTCTAGCTCCATTCATTTGCCTGCAAAATTCAAGATGTCGTTATTTTTTTCTGCTGTGTAGTACTCCATTGTGTAAATGTACCACATTTTCCTTATCCATTCTTCTAACCCGTATTTTTTAATCTATGTTCTTTCACGTGACTCAGTTACCTTTACTCTGCACTGCTCATCCTGCATCCTCCGCGACTGTCCGGCAACAATGCCTTTCTTCTCTGTGTCCCCAGAAGTCCTCCTGCCCAACCTCTTGCTACCTAGCTAATGGTCATTCAGCTCTTTATTAACCCGATCACAGTGACACATCTTCACAGAGTGTAAAGGACTATTCCACAATAGGCAGAAGAGTCACAAATCACCCCCGAGGAATTGGGGGTAAAGGAGAGTTTGAGGTGATGATTGCCAACTCTGGGAGCCTCACCTCTGCTCTCTGACCTCCTTTTTTCATTGACACGTGTGGGAGTTCTTTCTACTTTGGAAGTTAGTTGCAAGATCCCAGGACTCCATCCACCTTAAACTTTGCTCAAGTCTGGTGAGTCCCAGTGCTGTGCAGTGAAGGCAGAAACACAACGACCAAAGCATAAGTGTATAACACCTGATTAATCTAGAGTGTGAAAGAGCCTTTGGCCACAAAGCCGTTCAGTGGCACTTTTCATGGCCCTAACATGGTGCTCTATGAAGCACAGGCACACTGGCTGTTACAAGGATCAAGTTGCTTGTTTGTGACAACAACCCAGAACCAAAATAACCACACAGAAACTGTATTAATTAAATCACTGCTTGGCCCATTAGCTCTAGCTTCTCATTGGCTAACTCTTATATTAATTTAACCCATCTCTATTAATCTGTGTATCACCATGTGGCAGTGGCTTACCAGCAAAGTTTTGGCATGTCTGACTCTGGCGGCTCCATGGCGTCTCTCTCTGCCTTCTTTCTCCCAGCATTCAGTCCAGTTTTCCCCACCTACCTAAGTTCTGCCCTATCAACAGGCCAAGGCAGTTTCTTTATTCATTAACCACTAAAAGCAACACATACACAGAAGAACCTCCACACCAATTGGCAATCTTGGTTTTATGGGCAAATATTATGTTTTAAATTTGTGATTTTAATTCCACAAAGTGCCAAAAGTTTCTGCTTATGGTGATGTAAAAAAAACAATATTGATAATTTAATTTCTTTCCTTAGGCTATAAAATTTCTATTAAAAATTTACTGTGGCCTGAAGTGAGAGACTTCTGGGAGAAGCTGGGGAGCTATGTGGCCGCCGAAGAAGAAGGGGGCCAGGTAGACTTCTTTGTGCCACTTGGAGCATCAGGTCAGCATCAGGATCTAGAAAGGCAGGGGACATGTCTACCCATGATGTCATTTTTGTGTGTTTCTGAGGTGCCTCCACGAATGAATCCATTTAATGCCTGGATCAATGGCTCATTCCTTTTTTGCCACTGTAATGATTGTGCGAAATACGGTTACCCTGTATACTGTAATTTCTTTATCTATACTATGTATTTTATAAGTGAGGTTGCTATGAGCATGTGTAGGGATGTGTGTAGTCACTCCCCTAAGGTACATACGATCCCAGCAGTGCATACTCAACTTTTACAAAGCCAGCTGGCCTGTTGTCCCCCTTTACTTTTCCAGAGAACTGCTCGACACTTGACACTTTGGTTTTAGCCATTCAAGTGGATACAGAAGCATCTCATAGTGGTTCTGATGTGCAGACTCCTACTGAGTCACGACGCTGAGCATCTTTCTATGTACTATCCGCCATTTAAAAGCCTTCCTCAGTGTCTGTTCAAGTATCTAGCAGATTTTGAAGGGTAGATTGTTTTTCCAGTTGCTGCCTCATGTTTTCCTTCTCTGAAGATTCCACTGAACAGAAGAATGTCTTAGTTTTGATTAAATCAAATTTATTATCTTTGCTTTTGTAATTATGTTTTAGTTGTCATATTTTTAAATTATTTAAAAAGTATGTATTTTAAAATCTTATGCCTGTAGGTAGGTGTTCTGTCATGTGTATGTTTGTACCACATGGGTGCAGTGCCCATGGAGGCCAGAAGAGAGCGTCAGATCCTCCAGAACTGGAGTTAACACCAGGTTGTCAGGAGCCATGTGGGTACTGGGAATCCAATCTGGGTTCTCTGGAAGTGAAGCCAGGGCACTTAACCTCTGTGCCATTTCTCTGGTCCCCATGTTTTAAAATTCCTTACAAATCAAAGATCATAACGATTCCCTCCTGCACATCATAGGAGTTTATGTTTAAGTTTGGCATTTAGGTCTGTGGGCCAATTGATTTATTTCAGGATACAAGACTTGGGCTGAAATTTAATTTATTTTACATATGGGGACCTATTTTCCCAGCACCATTCCTGTAGGGAAGCCTTTTGTCCCTCTCTCCCCCCACAGTGAACTTTACGTACAAGTTTACTGCAATCATGTTTTTTGTTTTTGTTTTTTGTTTTTTTTTTTTTTGGTTTTTTTGGTTTTTTGAGACAGGGTTTTGCTGTGGCTTTGGAGCCTGTCCTGGAACTAGCTCTGTAGACCAGGCTGGTCTCGAACTCACAAAGATCCGCCTGCCTCTGCCTCCCGAGTGCTGGGATTAAAGACGTGCGCCACCGCCTGCAATCATGGTTGATATGGACTTGAGTGCACTCTCTGTCTCTGAGCTCTTGTGGACTCTCCGTCTGACTTAATTGTCAATGAAAATAGCATCTAACCCCATCAGTTTCTACCATCTTGTGCCTAGAAGCAATAGGGTATTTATTTTTGGACCACAGAGAATTAAAATGCCCCATCCATTACGCAAATTTCTTCTCAAGCAATTCAATGTAGTCGCTGAATTCTGTAATCCACTTTATATGCCAGTCTGTGTCACCGAGGAAGAGGAGAAATTAACGCCACAATAAATGTTGGCATGTCGTTCCATCCTGTTTATCTGGTTCAACTCAGTCCACTTTCAATGACAATTCCTGTTTTTTCCGAATACTTTAGGAAACCCATGAGGTTTTCTGTCTTTGACTTAAACATTCTCAACTTGAAGGAAAGCATTTGCTGGAGCTGCCTGCCCTCTTCCACATCTTATCGCTCTGTTCTCACAAATTAGGTGTGTGGATGTCTGTCCATGGGGGTAAAGGTGAGGCATTGATGGGCTCTTTAACAGAAGAATTTTACTTGAAGATGACAGTTGCCTGTGGTCTCTCTTGGCCAACTCTGCCAGGCTTCTCAATAAGAGTTTACTGTTTTCAAGAAACCTGTGAGTTAACTAATGCAAGCTTTTTGTTTTTTGTTTTGTTTTTGTTTTTTTGAATGTGCAGAAGCAGGCCTAGAAGTTCTTTCTCAGCTGTCTCAGCTAACTGGCACATCCTTCTCCGCCCCCACCGGAATCGCGACTGGTTCATTCCAACACAGTAAGTGTACATGAGAGCTGGCTGCTGAGCCCAGTCACAGACGGCCGCTTCGGCGTCCCTGGAGGACAAGGGCTAGGCGAACACGCTCCTTGTCTCGTTTCTCTTCACCAGCAAGCAGCAGCTGCACACCTTTGCCGTTGTACAATGATTCCGATCTGCCGGCGGCAATTGTCACTCTCTCTGAGTGGATGTTGTCCCTTCCAGAGCTGGGTCATTTCATACCACTGGGTCATTCATTTATTTAGAGGAGGCTTTTTGGCTGAAAATATTTTGCTTCAAGCCATCGTATACTAAAACCCTCTTGAAAGAGTCTAGAAAAATTGGATGATTTAGGGAATGTGTTTTTCTAGTTTTTTTTTTTTTTTTTTTTTTTTTAAAAAGAATGGCTTAGGTTTTATTTGGGAACAGAAATTGGAGCTGTAAGGAGCTTTGCTCAGATCCCACGGAGTAGCATGATCAAGAAGGGAAATGGGTCAAAAGAGAAAATATGCCTGCGTGTCCACCTTCACTGACTCAATAAATAAAGCTACTGATATTGGCTAAAAAAACGCAACATTGGCTGACAGGAGAACCACACTGCTATCCTACAAGGTCACTCGTCATTTTCTAGTTGAAAACTCCCCTCTTTCTACCAAACAGGGCTTGGGCTGCCTTGGAGAAGACAGGAACACTGATTCTTTAGTCCCCAAAGGCCTTTCATGACTGGGGAGAGTTGGCACCAGTGTGACACTTGTAAGGGAAATGATTCCATGTAGGGGAACAGAAAGTGCATTGACTTCGTAGTTCAGAGACGCCAGGTTCACTGCAGTTCGTTCAGCATCAGCAAACGATGGTGCCTGCGGCTCTGTGGAGAGAATTGCCTAGCTCAGCACAGCAAGGTTTGGGTCCTGTTGCTTGCCCTAAAGGACAGCTGTACTTCTTTTTCTCCTCCTGCCCCTTTCTCCTTTGGTCGTTTCTTCTTGCTCTCCTTGTAAAGGAACACATTGGAGAGTCTTGCGCATGCGCATGCTTGTAGGGACAGGAAACGCAATGGATCTGATTATCCATTCCAGTAAAAACCTGCACCAACAACACACCAGTGGGCCGCTCCATCATGATGCAATTGCTTTGCAAGGAGTCTGACTCTCTCCCCCATCCACCACAGTCATGCGGAATATTTTGGGTTCCCCATAATTTGAGAAAGAGAGGAGGAGGGGCTGCTGGGGGGTTGACCTCGAATGGCAAGGCAGGGTGTGGGAAGTGCTAAGTAGGAAGAATTCTCACTTTAGACTGGAGAGACACATTCTTACTTACATCTATCCCCTCTGTTTCCCAAAGCACCAGACAGCGATTTCATTTCTAATTTCGAGCAGAACATGTCAACCTTATCTGCCACGAACAGACGGGCATTCACGGTGTCCTTTTTGAGTTTCTTATTTTACCACTGAAAGCAGGCTGTGGCTGCTTATCTTCTCCTGAGAAAGTCCACTATGCCCCATAGAAAGGCAGCTGAGCTGGTCGTACTTTAAACAAAAAGTAGAAACCCCCTGCCTCAGGTCAAGTCTTGAGCTACTTGGAGAGCCCAAGGCCAATGAAAGAAGCCTTGTCTCAACACGGTAGATAGCACCTGGGAAACACCCTTTGAGTTGACCTCTGGCCTCTACATGTAAGTGCACACATGTACACTCACACACATACACTTGTACACATACATGCACATATGCACACACACACACACACACACACACACACAAGTGATCTCAAGTCTTCAATAGAAATCCTGTCAGTTCTTAGCGACTGGCTGGGGCCACAGCAGGACAGGCCGCCTCCTTCTGACTACTTCAGTGAGTCTAAGCTGCAGGCATGGACCAACTTCACGGACTCCCTGGAAGACACCTTGAAGTCAGTGAGGAAGGAGTTCCGCCCACTCTTCAAGAACTTGCAGAGGAGCATCAGCGGCCGGATCCTGGGTAAGATCTCTGACACTTCCGCAGATCAGACCAGAGCTTATCTATTCCCTGAGAAAATGCAAGACCGAGAACAGCAGAAGGAAAAGCCAGCTGTAACACATGCTTGGTCAAACACCATCGCCTTGGTTTCTCAAATACTCTAGAGAAAACTAGCCGTGCTCAGAGTGTTGGAACTGACTCCCGTTTTCAGGTCTCCCCATCTTATTGGTCCATATGGCAGCCCATCTGCCCGGGACAGAACTTGCTTTTTGCCCAACTAGAAAACTGTATCCTTTCACACCACAACTTTCCAGCTGCTAGGCACTTCTTACCCATGGTGTCTATTACAAAACTTGTTCTACAGTTCCGTTACTATCTGAAATGCATAATTTATACGGATGCTTCAGGTAGATAAGCCCATTCGGGTTCCCCTCCAACTATGCATATAAATTATATATTATAATTTTCTTCATAAACAATAAAATAAAAGATGGAGCTTGGTGCTGGGCTCCATGGACTTTTTTTTTTTTTTTTTTAGTTTTTTTAGTTTTTCGAGACAGGGTTTCTCTGTAGCTTTGGAGCCTGTTCTGGCACTAGCTCTTGTAGACCAGGCTGGCCTCGAACTCACAGAAATCCACCCGCCTCTGCCTCCTGAGTGCTGGGATTAAAGGCGTGCGCCACCACCGCCCGGCTCTCCATGGTCTTTTAATGAGCCTGTTGGACATCACTGAATCAATTTTCCATACCCACTCCATCCCCCTGCTCCAGTTAGCATACCAATCTTTGTGGAATAATGTACAGTCTCAACACCAGATCACAAAGCTAAACCAGCTTATTCTTTAGCAAGAGGCACTTTCGCCATTTGGGTAAATATGTCCCCCTTCACCTCTGACCATCTCTTCAAAGCTTAAACATTCCACTGGACTAAGACAGTACCATTTGAACACTGCAGACCTGTGCCTTCCTCCCCCTCTGTGTTGTGCACACAGACAGGAGCGCACGTGTGTCCACAATGGCACTTTGTCCATCGGCACGTTTGCTTCACAAATGCCTCTTATGTCAAGATCTTCCCCTGAATTTTCCTGTGCCACCTGCTCTGTCACATCTAGGAAATGTCAAACCTATATTCTTAAATAGTTTGGAATGTTGAAATATGAACGGCGGGGTTGCGTCCCCAACACCCCAGCCGCTTGGCTAGCTCATGCCTGAAATAACAACACACAAACTGTATTCATTTAACTGCTTGGCCCATGAACTCTAGCCCTTACAGGCTAATTCTCGCACCTGGACTAGCCCATTTCTAATAATGTGTGTAAGCACCCCAAGGTGCGCTTACCGGGAAGATTCTAGCCTACATCCATCTTCATCACGTGTGCTTCAGAGAGCAGAGCTATCGCGTCTACCCGGGAGAGCTGAGCATGGCGTCTGTCTGGGAGCAGAGCAGAGACTGACTTCACTTCCTCTTCCGCCCAGAATTCTATTCTGTTTACTCCTCCCATCTATGTTCCAAGCTGAGGCCAAGCAGTTGGTTTATTATAACTTAACCAATGAAATCAACAGATTGATATATGACACTCCCACATCATTGGAAACTATAAACCAGCCTGGTAGTGGTGGTGCACACCTTTAATCCCAGCACTCAGGAGGCAGAGGCAGGTGGATCTCTGTGAGTTCAAGGCAAGTCTGGTCTACAAAGTGAGTTCTAGAACAGTCAGGGCTACACAGAGAAACCCTGTATCAAACAAACAAACAAACAAAACAAAACAATAACAACCACAAAACAAAACAAAAACTATAAACCAGGAAAAATAAATATTTTTCTTTTATAAATACTAAGGATTAGATAGAAAAAGGGGAAAAGCAGATTATTTTTTATGAAAATGTGTTGGCAACGAGAAGTCAATGGGGAAAGATATTTCCCAGTAAAGTATGTAAATATTAAAATATTAAAATGGATAGATATCTTATATGAAAGCGACTTTCTCTGAACTTAAAATATTTACAATTGAACACAAGGTGAGGGAAATGGGAGACTATTTAGCCAGAACAACTAACAAACAAGTCATAATTCCAGTCATAATTTTCCTTTATTATTGTCAGATTATTAGATTCCCTTTCAATATCAGTTTTTCCACATAGAAATCGCTTTGGCTCATTTCCTGGTTTATGACAGAGCTTCTCAGGGCAATAAGAAAACTTTGGTCCTTGTATTGTTGTCCACTGAAAACAACTGTGGTGACTGTTTTCTTCGCTATCACATTGTCTTGCATGAGTTAAGTACAGCATGTGTGCCTTACTTATATTTCAGGGCAACTTATGTTTGACTCTCTGAGTGTGGCCAGCATCCTAGATAACCAAGATGCTGCACAGGCTCTGGCGGATGGGCTGGTGGAGTTGTCAAAAGAAGGATCTGTAAGTGTTGTGGCTGAAAGACAAAAACCGGAAGAAATTTCAGCACAAATAAACCCTAAGTTTATGGTTGTTATCATTTACCAGTTTATCGTGCTGGGACAGAGTTCCTCAGAGAAATCACGTCAGTTTATAAAAGTAGGCTCAGAGAGATTCTGGAGTCAAGATGTGGTGTACTAAGTATATAAAACAGAGAAGCAGGAGAACTTCTGGGTTATTTAAAGTCTATTCATTTCTGTGCTGTTCTATCCTGTGCCTAATTTCAGCCAGAAGTGACCTCGTTAGAAAACAAGTTCATGACCTGATAGTCCACATAAATGTTATTCTTTAGTGTGAGCCGGGGAACTGAAGCATGTGAAACATATGCAAAATGATGATAGGCAAGGGGCTTAGATGAGAGAGAGAGAGAGAGAGAGAGAGAGAGAGAGAGAGAGAGAGAGAGAGTAGGAAAGAAAACACAAAAGAAAGCTAGGCGAGCCAGCCTTTGGGGATAGGAATAATAGTTGGGGAGTCTCAAGAAGTATTAGTATTATCAGGCCATCTTGGACAGTCTGCCAGAAAAGTCAGCGTACATTTCAGAAGACTCTAAGAGATTAGCCGGCTGGGGAATAGGCAGTGCCTGGGCCTGCTTTGCAAGTGTGAGGACCTGAGCTTGACTCCCAGAACCTAGCGAGGTATGGTGACGGATGTTTGTAATCCAAGTGCTGCCCAGCAAGAAACAGGTGGATCCCTGGGCCTCTCTGACCAGCCAGCATTGCTTACTTGATGAGTTCCAGACCAATGAGAAACCCTCTTTAAAATAAAAAGTGGGCAGTGCCAAGATTGTCCTCTGGCTTACACACACACACACACACACACACACACACACACACACACTGGTAGTTTGAATGTAACTTGTCCCCATAAGCTCATAGGAAGTGTGGCTTTGTTGGAGCAGGTGGATGAAGTGTGTTGCTGTGGGAATGAGCTTTGAGATCTCGTATATGTTCAAGCCATGCCCATTGTCTCAGTGCACTTCCTGTTGCCTTTGGATCAAGATGTAGAATTCTTAGCTCGTTCTCCAGCACCATGTCTGTCCGCACACCTCCATGTCTCACCATGATGACAATGGCCTAAACCTTTGAACTGGAAGCGAGCCCAGTTAAATGTTTTCCTTTGTAAGAGTTGCTGTGGTCATGGTGTCTCTTCATAGCAATATAAGCCCTAAGACACACACACACACACACACACACACACACACACACACACACACGCTTTAGTCCATGGACTCCCTTTCTCAAAACCTCAAGGATAATTGTGAAGCCAAAGGAAATGACCAGACATTTGGGGGAAGTCCAGACCTGATTGGTCTAATAAAGAGCTGAACAGCCAATAGCATGGCAGAGAAAGGATAGGCGGGACTGGCAGGCAGGGAGGATAAATAGGAGGAGAAATCAAGGCTCAAAAAGAGAGAAGAGGAGGAGGAGGAGGAGGAGGAGGAGGAGGAGGAGGAGGAGGAGGAGGAGGAGGGACTGAGGAGAGAACTAGGAACACACAGAGTCAGAAACCAGAGAGCCAACAGGCAGCAGACAAGAGAAGCAGTGAAAGTAAGATTACAGAAAGAAAGTAAAAAGCCCCAAGGCGAAAGGTAGATAAAGAGACACAGGTTAATTTAAGTTAAAAGAGCTATTCAGAAAAGAGCTAACCTAAGGCCAAGCATTCAAAACTGGGCGTCATGATTTGGAAGCTGGTTGGTGGCCCCAAAAGAAAAAGTGTGGTACATGTGTGTGACATGTATGTGTGTCTGTAGGCCAGAGGTGTTTTCCTTGATCACTTTCTGCCTCAGGTTCTGAGACAGAGTAACCCTGCAGCTCAGTTAGGCCAGCTGGCCACTGAGCTCTGGGGATCCATCTGAACACCCACGGGGGGGGGGGGGGGCAGGTTACAGGCACAGTAGCACCAGAGCTGAGTTGTTCCTCGGTGCTGGGGTCAGAACTCAGGTCCTTAAGCTCAAACAGGCGCTTTACCACCTGACCTGCTCTTTTCTGTTGTATGTTTAACATGTCAGAGGAATATTTTCAATTGAATTTTTTGTGTGTGTTGGGGGGGCATTTTTCAGGACAAACCTCTGGAATTTTTGTCATCTTTTCTGCTGAAGAAATCTAATAAAAAGAGTGAGGAATTTGAAGGAAATGATATTCTGTTAGACTGTGACGTAAAAGTAACATCGGATCCACTCACGAAGGTAAACGTTGCTGTTGCGTATTTTTGTTGTTGTTTTGTTTTGTTTTGTGTGGTTTTTTTTTCTTGGTTTTTCGAGACAGGGTTTCTCTGTAGCTTTGGAGCCTGTGCGGTGCTTCTCTGTAGAGCAAGTCTTCTGTGGAGAAGAGATTCTCCGGAAGGGTGACGGATTTCCTGGAAAACTTCCAGCTGTCAATTGTTTTACCAAGATCATTGACGCAGACTATTAAATAGGGTGTCTCGTGGTTCTTCACCTGATTGGCATTTAGGCCACCGGAGAGCGCAAGCTCCTCGGCTGACTGGATAGCTGTGAATCTGCATTTTGCTCCATTTACTCAGCTGAGTTCTCGCTGAGGTAACTTGAAAGAAAGATTGCAGACTGAGATCCGTTGTGTTGCAGATGAAACTACGAGTTTATCTTTCACGGGGAGTGGAGGCGCACACCTTTAATCCCAACACTTGGGAGGCAGAAGCAGCTGGAGCTCTGTGAGGTCTAGGCCAGTGATTATTTCAGGTCTGGGTGGCTGGAAACTAACGAACAGCCTCCACCAACACCAGGAAGGGAAAGGAAGGGAGAAAAGGAAGGCAAGCCACGATCCCCAGATCCCTTCCAGGGTGTGCCCCCATGACCAATTTCTTTACTAGGTCCCACCTCCCAACCGTGCTGCAGGACAGTGATTAAGTTTTAACTGCAGCTGCTTGCCCCTCAGAGCCGCCGGTGTCTCCGCTCACTTGACAAAGTGATGGTTTCCTGGCTATAAATACTTAGCGCTGTAATTTGTTTTAAACTGAAGAGTGTTTTACTCAAAGGGAAATTCTGAAGAATATTTTTTCCCCTCAAAATTCAAAGGCCCCTCCCGCCTCAAGGCAAAAGTATAAAAATATACCAGGCTGGCATGAGACAGCCATACATGGAAAAGCAGAGTCCCTGGAGCAGACGGGTGCTTGAGAGGTAGAGCCAGCACACCAGGAGAGAGCTGAGACTGGCCACTGCTCAGGGACCACCTCCCGCACCAAAGTTTCTGCCTGCTGTCTAAACTGTTGATGTGACTGCTCCATGCTTTGGTTAAGGGGAAGATTTTTATTGGAGAGAGAGAGAGAGAGAGAGAGAGAGAGAGAGAGAGAGAGAGAGAGAGAGAGAGAGAGAGAGAGAGAGAGAGAGAGAGAGAGAGAGACAGAGAGAGAGAGAGAGAGAGAGACAGAGACACAGAGACACAGAGACACAGAGACAGACAGACAGACAGACAGACAGACAGACAGAGACAGACAGAGAGAGGAATAAGGAGACTAGCAGGGTTACAAGGAGGGGAGCCCACGTGCTGGAAGGAGTATTGGGTACAGGGGGATGCTAGCCTGGGCTTTGAAACTGTGACAGGTACTCTGACCCTGAGGAGGGCTGGAGGCCCGCAAGAGCTTTGATATGCTAATAGGCACCACAGGTAGCCATTTGTCTCTTCTGACAGAGGTGAGGGAAAAGACTCCTTCTCACAGGTGAGGACCAGTTTCACAAGTTCCTGTGGAACGCTGGCTTTTATCTAACCGCCAGAAATCCCCCTATAGTTCAGGATGAGTGTTTGGGCTGCTCTCTGGCGTGTGGGGAAGTGGAGTTGCCTTTGGACCTGAAGCTGCTATATGAAAGCACAGAGCTACAGAATATACTCATTTTCTCCTCATAAAGAAAAGGAGTTTTGGTTGAAAACTGATGTTTATAGCCAGGCCAGAAAATGTGGGCCTATAATCCTAGTATTTTGGAGGTGCTAGGAGGGTCAAGAGTTTAAGGTCAGCCTTAGCCAGAGAGCAAATCTAAGGAGAGGCTGGCATACTGGGGACTCTGTCTCAAAGAAACAAGACAAGCAAATCCTCAAACAAGGTGATGTTTGTTCTCTGACTTCTTCCAGGGACAGCAGGGGATCTCTACTAAGAGTTTTATCTTTGAGTAGGGAGAGCAGCAGTTTTTACTGCTGTTCTGTTTTTCTAGCAGGAACACAGAGCTATTGTTCTGTTGCTAGAGGGGCCCCTGAGATGCAGCTCAGGTAACCAGGGGACTTTTTTATTTTGATCCACTAATGTATAGACAAACCACAAGATATAGTAAAGAGAGAGAGAGAGAAAAAAAGTCATATTTAAATGTGAAAACAGACAAATCTTGCAAGAGTATGTGAACCGCTTGATGACATTTTCTCATGAGTGGAAGAAAGGGGTGGCTTTTCTAAAGCCTTGGAGCCTGCTCTTTCCAGCATCTTCAAAGTGAGATCAGCCTCTTCCCACCGCTGCCAAGGGAAGAAGAGGAGTATAGGTCCAGCCCACTCCCAGGAGTGTGTAGACCAAGAGGAGCCCTGAAGGCAGGACCCTTACCCCCACCCCACCTTTCAGGGAAGAAGCTAGAATTTAGGTTTTAAGTTTAGTAGCTCAAAGGAAGCAAAAAGCTGTTTCTATTTTTAAATTGTGTGTGTGTGTGTGTGTGTGTACGTGTGTAGAGATCAGAGGGTGAGAATCGTCTTCTGTTGCTCTCTAGGTTTTGTTTGTTTATTTTGGACAGGGTCTCTCACTGAGCCTGGAACTTGCTGTCTTGGATAGATTGGCTGACCAGCAAACCCCAGGAACCCTCCTATTTCTTCCTCCGAAGGCTGGGATTACACGTGGGCACTTTTACCCAATGAACCAGCTCCCAAATCCCTAAGACAGTGGTCAACCTTTCTAATGCTGCGACCCTTTAATACAGCTCCTTGTGTTGTGGTGACCACCAACCATAAAATTCTTTTGTTGCTACTTCATAACTGTAATTTTGCTACTATTATAAACCGTAATGTAAATCAGGATACCTGATGTGACCCCTCAAAAGTGTCGACACCCACAGGTTGAGCACCACTGCCCTAAGGGCTGTTATTAAAAACACAAATCTTAGTTGGAGAGGCACCACGTTTGTCAAGTACCTAATTCAGTGTGCCTAGGGACCTTGCCATGAGAGCTGAGGGCAGAGGGTTCCCAAGGCTCGGATGGGAAGCATACTGGACCATGCTTCCAGGGATTACAGGACCCGCCTCCAGGTAACTAAGTTCCATTTCATCTTCAGGAAAGACGTGCCATAGAAGACAATTTTCAGGACACAAAGTCTAGTCCAAACCAAAGCAACTTGAACATGGAGGTGCTGTTTAAGCTGGTAAGCCGCCTATTTCCTATCAGTGTTCTCGCTGACAGGGAAGAGCCATTATTAACCGTGGTTCTTTGTTTTCCTTGGACACATTCTTTAAGGAGAGGTACAACCAAGCAACTACTGGATTGAGCTGGAGTAAAATCCAGTTGGTAGATTTCTCAGCCCCTGGTAACTATGCTATAGACTCAGAGCTTGAGTCACAGGATGGAGATGTTGGCATCTGCGAGAAGACCAATCTGAATGTGACTCTTATGACTTTTTCATTTAAAAAAAAAAAAGGACACACGGGTGTGAAGGTTTGCAGGTTTTAATTGGCTCACCAACTTACAGGCTCGCAGCAAAAGCTTACTCTAGTCACTATATGGGAAATGCTCTGCCCTGGGCTGATGGACAGCCTGGAGAGGGGATGCCAGACATGCAGAGGCTGTCCTAGCTGCCGATATGCACAGCATGCATTCATGATTTTGGAACGTTCATCATGGCTTCACGTTTATTTACATTTCTTTTTCCAAAGACTCCAAAGAAGATGTTAGTATCCAGTTTTACAGATGAACACCTGAGTTAGAAAGCCTATGTGACTTATATAAGGTTAGACTCTCAGAAAGAGAACAGTATGAGTTCTGCAAGCCTTGAGCTCAGACCTAGAAAACTTTAGAGCCCCATCATGCCCAGGGAGGGTCCAGGGCAGGCGCTGGCCTTAGGGCAGGGTTTCTCACTCTCCCTACTGATTGATTGATCACTAGAAATCAGCATGGAAAACCATTACAAACTGATGGTAGCAACCGCCACAGCCTTCTGAGCCCTGAGATCACACGCCTAGACTACCTACCTGGCCAGGATTGTTTTAAATTGCTTTTGGCCATGGTGATATTTTGTTGTGCTTTAACATTAAAGCTTGCCAGAAGATCAGAGTGAGAAGCTAGCCACACTTGTTAGCCATAGAGGCCGGGCAGTGGTGGCACATACCTTTAATCCAAGCACTCGGGAGAGCAAAGTAGTTCCTTCTGCTATCCCATTGGATGAGGAAGAAAGACCAGAAGACACTCAGGAGTGGGTGGGCCACCACAGGCTGTCTGTCTCAGTTCACCAGGCTGCTGGGTGGCTGTATCTAGAGCTACACCATTGCCACCTTCCCCTAAGATGATCCGTCTTTTGGGTCTTGCCTCTTTCTCCTCTTCCGGCATCTTGCTATGGGCCATTGCTGAGGGTCTCAGCCATTACATTTCTCCTGAATTCCTGATGTTTTCTGCAGGAGAGAAAGCTCCAGATGGACTCAGTAGAGAAACGAACGCGAGTTGTGAAGGAACTTGTGCAGAGTGAGAGACGGTATGTGCAGATGCTGGGAATCGTGAGGGACGTATACGCCAGGCCCCTGAGGGCAGCGCTCGCCTCAAACAGAGCCATTCTGAGTGCTGCCAATATACACATCATTTTCTCTGATGTTCTACACATCTTAAATCTCAACAGGTAAACCCAAAAGATGGATTCATTAACATGTACTCCCCAGAAGGTGGGAAGAGCACACTTTGTCTCAAAAGTCCCACTATGGCCCAGCCATTCTCTACCTTCTTTGGGATCCCATTACCTGGAAGAGCAGAGAGTCTCCTTTGCATGTTACCTGATACATGCAGCACATGTACAACCAGCAGTGATGGCTTCCAGGGCTACCCCAGGTCCAGGTCACAACATGTGCAATAAAAAGAATTCAATGCCTAGACATTCTATAGCCAGTAGACTGCTCACGCAGAAGTCCACAGGAATAAGTCAGCAATGTCTAACTGAATAACAGGACAGGAACAAAAGGACTTCATAAGACTAGGAAACTCTGCTTTTCCATGGCGGGTTTCTTATATGTATCAAGAGATTGAGAAGAACAAAGGTTTCTTCATGTAGTAGGGTGAAGTGAGCCAACTTCTGGTCTTAGTCAGTCTCTACAGACCTGGGGAAGAGTCCTGCACCTCTCTGGCCCCAACCTAGTGACAAGGCTAATGAAACCTCCTCTCCTCAGCTTTCACGGCCTGAATGGCTGAGAAGGGTCACCTTGGATCTGTAGAGTATGTGGGCTGTATGCAAGCTATGGCTCTATGCAAGTTAAAGTTGAAGGCCAAGGCCTTGAAGCTTTTGAAGGTACCACTCTCCTCAGCAGACTGTGAGAATATCCATAGCTCTGGCTCTCTGAGGGTGGAACATTCAGAAGTGGTTCTCTTGTGGGAAGCTGGATTCTGACAGGAAATTAATGTAAAAGATGGGCTTCTGGGCATCCAACCTCTTCCCTTACTTCCCAGCTTTCCCATGCTGTCAAATCCAGATTTCTTTGTGGTAAAGTACCCGGCTGGTAAAGATCAAGTTCCACCTGAAAACACTAGGCGGAAAAGCCTATAGCAATGAATTTGTTGCTTACGTTTGGAGCCTCTCACAGGTTTCTATGTCAATATACAACCTTCTCATGTTGTAGAGAATTTCTAGCTAACCTAAGAGACAGACTACAGGAATGGAGCCCAGCCCACTGTGTGGGAGAAATATTCATAAAATTTGGAAGGCAGCTGAACACATACACCAATTTCTTCAACAACTATCCTGTTGTTCTGAAAACAATTGAGAAGGTAAGTGGTTGTGATACCTCCATGCTAACACTGAGGTAAATAGGAAAGGGTGCTTCTCAGCTACTCCCTCTCAGGTTTCTTCCCATGTACTTCAAGCTTCTTGACGACAGAGACCTTAACATAGAGGCCAACACAGTAACAGACGCACATCAGTGCTCAGGAACCAATACTGATAGCTGAGCTGTAGCATATAGACTGAGCATACTCATATACACTGCCAAATCTTCACGTAGCCCAGTCACTTAGTGGCTCAGTGACAAGACATTAAACAACTAAGTTGGAGCAGGATTGTGGGCTCAGAATGCTCTGCACTCAATGGCAAGGATGGGGACACACAAGGTCAACTCAATGGATACCTTGACCATGACTTTTGACCCAAGGGCAAGAATTAAAGCAAAGAGTGTCATCAGAAACAAACTGGTGGCAAAACTTTTACAACCATGGCAAATACTGGTACCTACTTCATGAGCAGAGTGAGGGCATACAGATGTCGACTACATTTAGCTATGGTAGCTATTATTTTTTTTTATGGTAGCTATTATTATTTCTGCATCAAGTCTGGTTTTGTTTTTTTTTTTTTTGTTTTGTTTTTTTTTTGGCTTTTCAAGACAGGGTTTCTCTGTAGCTTCGGAGCCTGTCCTGGAACTAGCTCTTCTAGACCAGGCTGGCCTCGAACTCACAGAGATCCACCTGCCTCTGCCTCCCAAGTGCTGGGATTAAAGGCATGCACCACCACCGCCCAGCCCATCAAGTCTTTTAAGACCTTTAGTTGTTTGCAAGTATGAATGGTCTTATTCCTTCAACATTCTTGGCGCTTGGAATCAGCGAATCTTGAACTCATACATTAGCTATATTGACATCTTTTCGACATGTATATACCAAATAGAAGGACATAATTTCATAGGTGTACCAGTGATGATCAAATGAGTACGTTTGAAATGGACATTAAGTACAGTGGAATGCTTTTGTAATACCACTCTGGAAAACGTGACTGACAGCAGCATTAAAGGTAATAGCACCAAAGAATTAAAGGTGAATAGCCAAACTCTTACAGGAATTAAATAAGATTTACTGCATGGTAGACCCTTTATTGGTGGGATTCTGTCCCCTCACTATGAGCTGGGTCTTCTATTTTACAGATGAGAAAGTCAGGTAACTTGACAAGGTCACCTACTCAATTTATTCTAGTTTTAATCCAATCCTACCTGACAATAAATCTGTCACTATTTCTATTGACTAAATTAATAAGTATGGGTAGGTGTGTGATATAATTACAATACTAGAGTTCATGTATTAGAACACATACACATAGTACTATTGATACCTAGCTGCCGCCTTCTTGCGTTGATATTCTGTAGATCACCACTTGCTGGTAGAACACAAGGCTTTAGAACTATCTGACAGAGCAAAGATCTGACAATGTAATTCTCACCTTTCAGTGCAGAGAAATGACACCAGCATTCAGAGCTTTCTTGAAGAGGCATGATAATACCATTGCTACTAAAATGCTCAGGTGAGTTTCCAGGGAGAGCACAGCTGGGCACTCAAGGACATGCCCCCTGTGACCTCCAAGTAGCAACCAGGGCACCCTACCCTATGTCCTGTCCAGCCTGCCAGAGCTGCTCCTGTACCCATCCCGGAGATTTGAAGAATATATACACCTTCTCTATGCTCTGAGACTCCATACACCTGCAGGACATATAGACCGTGGGGATCTGACCGCTGCAATTGATCAAATAAAAAACTATAAAGGCTACATAGATCAGGTGGGTTGCTGATACGCATGTGTGGGTACAAATGTTTCAGTGTTTTTGTGGTCATCTCATTTAAGGACCCTGAGAGGCCCTCTTTTCTGTGGGTGTCTTTACATCAACCTTTCATCCCTTTATAGATGAACCCATAGCCCTGTTTCACACCTTTGGACTTGAAAGTCATCTATTCCAATCCGAACAATGTGAGACAACATTTTTGGAAAACTGTACGGCCACAGTGCCCCCAAACACTCGGTTTTAGACAGGGTCTTATGTGTTCTGGATTAGCTTGGACTTGATATGTAGCCAAGGAGCACCCTGAACTTCCAATCCTCCTGTCTCCCTCACTTCTGGAGTGCTAGGATAAAAGGCATTCCCCAGTACTCCCAGGTAACGTAGGGCTTGGACTCCAACCGGGGGTTCTGTGAATATCAGGCAAGCACTCTGTCACCCAGGTCACAGCCCCAGTGCCACCTTTTCTAGTGGGAAAGTATGTAAGATTTGGATTTGTGTAGATAACCACAAGAAGAGAAACACCAAAATGTAAAATTTTTGGCTTCCAAAGTTGATTGCTTTTAATATCTCAAGTCACTTTAGTGATCGGTAACCCTAGCACTCACTAGTCCCTATATACTGTGTTGGCATGTCACACCCTAAAATGATTTTTTCCCTGAAGAGCCTTGTTTACTTGCCTTTGTTATTAAAACACTGGGTCCAGAAAATTGGTATTTTTATTAAAGAGCCAAGCCCTTTGCCAGGTGTCACAAAATAGTAATAAAAATGTCATGACCTTTGTTTGCCTAATATAACCTTGTATTCTAGATAAAGAAAAACATCAAACTGAGAGAGCAGCTGACCCACGTACAGACCACCATCACAGACTGCCCCGTACGTATGCGGGCGTTTTTGCTGCATCTCACACACATGAGTATAATCTTGTCACTGGCAAAAGGAGACAGACAGATCCTGAGGCAGCTAAATTTTGTGGTATGCTGCTGTTACTGCCAAGCACTGCAGGCTTCCGTGTAACATATCCCTTTTATGTGCATTATGTGCACATGCGTATATGAGCTGTGCCCTATCCCACGGTTGGGGTCTGCAAGGTTGTACTACAGCCCCTTCTTTGGTAGCACTCTGACCATGACTCCCTGTGCATTGAGCATGGTCATGTGTTCTACACGATCTCTGCCTGACTGATAAAAATCTTTGGTGGAGATTTGGTACACTGAACACCCCCACACTGGCCACCTATCACTCTGTAAACCTGTATGTTCACCTTTATCTTCTGACTCCCCTATCCCCTGAGCACCTACCATACCATTCTTTAAGAATGTAGCTTCTTGCCATTGCTCTTTGAAGATACACTTTCTTCTCTGACATTGCCATTCTTTCCTACTTCCTTGGTTAAGTGCTGTTAGTCCTTTAAAAACTAGGCTGGGGGCTGTGGAGATGCCTCAGCGGGCAAGAGCTCTTGCTCTAAAGGCATGAAGACTTCAAATCTCCAGGACTCACATAAAAAGCCAGGCAGGCCACAGGCAGACACCTCTAACTTCACTGCTCTGAGGGGGAGAAAATTGCTGGGGCCACCAAGCTCCAGGTTTACTGAGACAACAAGGCAGAACAATAGAGCGGGACAACTGTTGTCCTTTGTGGGGGGCACACACACCCCCTTTTAAATGAGATCAATCATAAACTCATTGTAATCATGATCTCATGATCTAAGTCCCTTGGTCTCAGGCTGGAAGCTCTTTCCTTGGTGTTCCATAGCCCCATGGTCAGCCCTATCATGTGTCCCTGTATTCATCTATTCACAGACTGGGAGCCCCATCGTGTGTGAGCTTTGACTTGTTTTCTGGTGTCTAATGTTCAGCAGGAGCTTGGTATAAATGATGGATGAAAGTATTAACTAATTGGAGATCTTTTACACGGTCAAATTAGAGAAGCAGGACAGAGTAGTTTTGTTCTAATTTCTATCTTCATATCTTTGTAAAGAAAGAAGTGTGGTTGATTGGACTGCAAAAGGATGATTCTTAGAACTCACAGAACTTCATCTTTGGGTCTCTGTGCACATTGAGAAGGCCTGTGCCCCATGGCAAGAGCAATGCATGGGCCTACTTCTTAATCTTACTAATTAATTCATTTGCCTCTTTTTTCTTGACAGTTCCTTTTACCTCCTCTCTAACTTTTGTTTTTTTTTTAGCATTAGGAAAAATATACATCTATATCTATATCTTTAGATATATCAATAGCTTTAATATATCAATAGCTTTAAAAAACTGACAGACTCAAATAGTTTTCATTGTCACTTTAATTTGCTAAAGGAAGCTTGTGTTTGTAAAGTAAGAAAAGACAGACTTTTCGACAACCACACTAAGTTCTAGTCAACATCTGTGTAGATGAAGGCTGCTTGTTCACTTCCCATCCACCCAGACCTGAATAATAACACAGAAACTATATATATATAGTTAAAAGTATTTATTTATTTATCTATCATGTACACAGTGTTCTGTCTGCATGTATACCTGCACACCAGAAGAAGGCACCAGGTCTCATTAAAGATGGTTGTGAGCCATAATGTGATGACTGGGAATTGAACTCAGGACCTCTGAAGAGCAGACAGCGCTCTTAACCTCTGAGCCACCTTTCCAGTCCCCCACAGAAACTATTTTAATTACAACACTGCTTAGCCAATTAGCCCAGGCTTTCTATTAACTAACTCTTACACCTTAAATTAACCCATTTCTATTATTCTGTGTCTCACCACAAGAAAAGATAAACTGGGGCGTAGAACAGTTCTGCACCAGTGGGATTTTGAATAATTGTACATCCTGCTCTTTATTTTATAGACTCTATCAGAAGCAAACAGATACCTGATTAGGATCCAAGATGTAGTTCAACTTCACTGCTATGATGAGAAAATGGATTTCCCTTTAAGGTGAGCAGCTGTTAGCCGAGGCTATGAATGCCCGCAAAGCAGTGACTGTCTTGCTCATTGCTCACCCCTGGCATTCAGTACAGGCTTGACCTTGTGTGCAGTCAAGAAAACCTTTGCACTGAGTCAAAGCCACATGCATGTGCCTGTCGGTGGTGTAGACATCTTATCATCTTGTTCGCATCTCAGCTGGCTCCTTGGTAGAATAAGAACAGTGTCTGCCAAGACTATGACTTTACAGGCGACCTTCTCAAGGTCGGTCAGTTTCCTAATGAGGTCAGATCCAAGTATTGTGGGAGCTCACACCAATATCCTGCTGAAAAGTGAGAGAATCATTTATTATCTTCAGCTAGCTGTTCAAGTTAACACCGAAAATGACTTTACTATATTTGCATAACGCTCAGAGTGCATAGGAATAATTGGAAAGATGCCAAAGTCCATAAATTAGTCTTCCTGTTGCTCTTTTAGAACAAGAATGGACAAGTTTTTCCATGAGGTCCGAAGAGTAAATATTTAGCATTTGCTGGCCAAATGAGGTCTATGGCAATGACCTTTTCTGCTGCAGCACAGAGACATCTAGACAACACAACAGTATGCTATTCATAAACAGCTGTGGCTATGTGCCAATAAAACTTTATTTACAAAACAGGTGACAGACTATAGTTTCCTGATCACTGCTTTAGAAAATGGTCAATGTTTTCAGTATCAAGGGCAAAGACAAATCATTCAACACATAGCAACCAAATGGAAAGGAGGCTCTTTTATTTCCGTGATTATTCAGCAAACATCTGGATGTGCCAGGGCAGTGGGGCAGATGGGTCACTCTTTGCACCTCCATCCCCACCTGGGAGATCCTCAATGAAAATCAAAGGCCATGAGTTTGAGCCCCAGAACTGACATGGAACGAGAGAACTGACCTCAGCAAGTTTTCCTCTGACCTCCCCACATGCTCTGTGGCACACCCCTCCCTGAAAAAAGACAATGTAAGCAAAAAGAGAAAAATCAAATCACCACAGGTGTCTTTTGCCTTTTGGAGAGGGTGTTGGATCCGCTGTAGCTGGAATCACAGACAGCAAAGAACCATGATGTGGGTGCTGTGAATTGAACTCAGGTCCTCTGGAAGAACAGCAGACATCCGCTGGGACCTCTCTCCATCATCTAAGCAAATTTGAGTATTTCTCCTGTTCCTTATCTACATGCATGTTTTGTTTTGTCAATCGTCCCTACATGTAGTCTCCTTTCTCTCCACCTCAGTCTGTTCCTGTTTCTCAGTGTGACTGACATTTCTCCTCACACACCTTCCAGCACCTAACTCAGCTGCAGTCTCCTCAGAGACACCAATGGGGTTCTTTGTGACAGCTGGTCTTACCTTTACCATTTCCTTTGTAAAATGGAAATGGTTTCAAGTACTCTATTACCTGGTTTTCTTTCTTTTTTTTCCTATTAGATTTCTTAGCATATTAACCATGGTTAAATTCCCAATTTGAATGTTTCAAAATCTCTGCCATATCCCAGTCTGGTTCTGATGACTGCCCTCTTCCCTCCACCTTTTGCCTTTCAGCATGGCTTTTACTGAAAGTTAGAAAAACAAAACCAAAAACCAGCCCCCCCCCCCAAGAAAACAAATAGGCATTTTTAGTGTGAGGTTTATGCCCCCTACTTAAGTTGTGCTTACAATGTCTGTCATAGTGAAAGGCTGCCATGTTCCTCACGTCTGTGTTTTGTCAGCAGGTCCAGCCTTAAGGACTCCTAAAAATATTGTTTTGCCTGCGTGTATGCATGTGTACCACTGTGTGCTTGGTGTCCATGGAAGCCAGAGGGTGTCAGATCCTGTAGGACCAGGAGTTATGGAGGCTACATGTGGGTGCTGGGAACCAAATTCAGATCCTTTGTAATAGTAATAGTAAGTGCTCTTAACTGCCCCAAGACCCCTTCAACAGAGTCTGAGTTTTGTATTTTTGTCTATTGTCATTAGATAGTTGTTCTCCTGAGGTGGTAGAAAGATGCGAGAGGAGGCACACATTCTGTAACCCTCTGTGTGGCCTGGGCTGAACTCCAATTTGTGGATATCCTCCTGCCTTAGCTCTCCCAAGGACCGGGATTATAGGGGGGCTCCCCTAAGTGACAGGGAAGCTGTGGGCTTGGAGTGAGTAAGAATTCCCCCTTCCCCAGGCTGCTAAAAGAACCCCTGAGGACCTTGTTAAGAACCTTGAGGTTGCATTTCATAATGGCCAGGTCTGCCACCCTTGTGCCCCAGGAGACTCGATGAGAGTCTTCTCAGCTCAGTGTGAGAGCTTGGTGGGCTCCTGAGTGCAGGTGCAGCCACGGTCTGAAATTCTGGCTGCTCCATCACGTCAGTATTAGAGGTGAAATTACCTGATTTGCTCATTTAGAAGACCTAATAGAGCCTGTGGTGACTCTGATAGAGATACATTTCCTTTGAATTGTATACAATTCCTTTGAATTTAGGAAACAGCTTCTGCCAAGTGTGTGCAGGTGCCAAACAGACACACGTGTAGAAAAAGTTCCTTGCGATTTGTCTTTTCCTCCACTGTCCTTGAGCGGCCACACTGAATTAGCGTGCAGCTTCCTCCTTTGCCAGAGCTTCACCAGTTCAGTTACATAAGAACTCACGGCTGCTGCCACTCAATGCCGTCCATTCGAAAGGGGAAAGCCAAACATTTACTTCTGAAGCAAGCACCAACATCGATGGCATTTATTTCTTCACAGCACTCTGGAGGGCTTCCAATTATAAAGCTATTTTTTTTTAACATTTTAAAATGTAAAAATTTGGACTTTTTTCTAAACTTAAGAAAAATTATTTTTCTATATTTATCAGTTATTGGGCAACACCTGGGAAACATGGTAGAATTCTTTACCTAGTGAAAGCAGCCTTTGCCTGCATGTGGTTGACCTTTGCTGGCTTTCTTTCCCTTTCTTCCTACTGCTGCCCCATCATTCGGAGAGAAACTCAATAACTTGATCTAAAACTGTTTTTCCCCTTCAAAATGTAAGTAAATATGAAGCAACCCATTCACAGCAGCATAAATCATAATCAAAAGAAGGAAATGTTTAGATGCAAGAGCTGACTCTAGCGGCTGATGACCACAGTGATTCTATTTACTGCACACCCAAGCATCTGAAATGAACTTAGGGTTCTCCACTTGGATTTCCTAACTCTGATGGCAGCCTTTGGTCCAGTTCTTAGGCAAAGTTGTAACTAAAATGACTCAGATGTCTTATTTCTCAAAACCAGGCTGGAACTGTGGAACCAGAGTCGCCAGGGGCTTGCCAGAAATGCATAGGCCCCTGGAGGCAAAAAGTCTAATTTGACAAAATCCTGGTCATATTAACTCAGGTCAACACACATTTAACATCAGTCATTACGAAGTGAATTATTATGAACTAAACTAAGTTTTGTACACAATATAAAACTTTTCGACAAAAAATAAAGTATCTGACAAATCACTTCTCACTGCAAATCCTCACAGATATAACAGCTCATGAAAAGAATTTGATTATATGAAGAGAACCATCTAGCAATCTGGCTCCAAAGCAAAAATCAGAGGGTCACAGATGAGGTCCGAAGCACAGCAAATTTTGCTCTTTGCCTATGGCTAACCATTATTAGCAATATCAATGAAGACAAAGAACAATTTACATTTTACTTCCCTTAGGGGTGAAGTCACTGAGCTGCCTCCCTTCCAGTTTCTCTGCAAACGGATAAGCAGTTCATTTGAACTACCAGTTCAATGGTTCTTCCCCAGGTTTCTACTTAGAGATGCCTGCAGTCACACCACTCTGATAGTTCTCGCCTGAGGATCATGTGAGCTGAAACAAAGCAAACTCATGGTTCTCAGGTCACCCAAATACATCCGGCACAGAACGCCACAGCTGACAAAAGTTATAAAAACAGTCATGATAGAATTCATCTAATAAAGGAGGAAAGGAGGGAACATTCGATGTTCATTTAAAAAAGTTAGATTTACTCTTTTATGTGTGCCTGCATTATGTGCACCATGTGTGTGCTCGGTGTCCAGGGAGGTCAGAAGGTGGCATTGGGTGCCCTAGAATTGGAGTTACAATGGCTGTGAACCCATCCTCTGCAACAGCAAGTGCTCTTAACCCGAGCTCTCTTTCCAGCCCTCACTGTTCATGTTTTGCACATTATGAATACTTGACTAATGGAAGGGATCAAATAACTATCAGGTACCTTGGTGGTCTACATTATGTCTAGACATGCAGGGTCACTTTACCAAGTAGTCCATGAATTACACAAAAAGTCTATAGTGGATAAGGTCTTAATCATGGGAGTATCAATTTAAAGATGGTTAATTGTTGAGCAAGGCGCACACCTGTGAGCTCTTCACTCTAACAGGCTCTATGAACAGACCCGAGACCTCAGCCTCTTCCTCTTCAATGATGCACTGCTTGTTACTGGTCGGGCCACATCTCATACTCCATTTGAAAGGACGTCCAAAACAACCTACCAGTTCATTGCGTCAGTGGCCCTTCCCAGGATGTTCATAGAAGACATTCCAGACTCCAAATGTATGTATTTTCTTTCATGAGAAAAGCTATCTCACACCAAACTCATTAACTATACAAATATCCAAGTAAGGGAAAGGCTGGGGCAATTTGTCAGCTTACCAATATTAAGATTTCATTAACTTCCCTCTGAAGAAACAAAAGTTGCCATTACCAGACACAAACCCCAAACAACAGAAAAGCAACTTTTAGTCACAGGGTGGTTAAGTGCTGTATCATTCTGAGGGTTCTGTGAAGATGCTACAGGCTTGAGCCACTATTTCAGGCTCCCTCCATCCATCCATCCATCCATCCATCCATCCATCCATCCATCCATCCATCCATCGATCCATCCACCCACCCACCTTTGTACCTATCATCTACCTATTATTACTAGCAGTCCTGGAGATAGAATTCAGAACTTCATGCATGCTAAGCGAGTGTTCCACTGAGCTACAGCCCCAGCCCTCTATCATTTTTCCTATTCTGTTTGAAGTAAGTAGCTATTCCAGACTTGATTGTCCTTTTCTTCCCTTAATTGGATTTAGCTAGTTCCTCTAACAAGAGCCAGCATTTGCAAAGTGTGCTTAGTAACTAAACATTGGTTCAAACACTCCAATAGAAATAGCAGGTCATAAAAGAACACAACTTAACCCGTTGTGCTTATTGTTAACTCTCCATGCTGTAACACCTGTTTCTCAAGCTGCACAGGATCCGTCTCTAGTCTGCATTTCTGTTAGGACAGGCAACAGGAAGGTAACATTTCTCACTGCAATATTTGCCCCGCGTGTAGACAGGACCGCAGCTTAAAGAAGGAACCAAGGCCCTATTTAAGTTCTTGACTCACGAGTCTCACTCCACCTTTAACCACTGAGCATGGTTAGGATTGGAAATGCTCCTTTTCTTCAGCTCCCGTTGACTGCAGTTGTCAGCTGTGCTGACACCAGGGCACGGGCACTCAGCTAAGATAGTAGCTGGCTGTGTCGTTCATACCAAGGCCACTCCAGGTCTAGCCTCTCTACAGCCACCAGTGAAGATTTTTTACTGATCGCAGTTCTTTCTAGAGGCATTGAAACAAGGGATTAAAAGATCACATTATCATCTGGCCTTTAAAATAACTGACAAACTATTATAAAGACAGAATTTTTGATAATGTTGCAATTCTGTTTAGAAGATAATCTTCTAAACTATGTTTAGCTTACCTGGAATCCTTGATTGTAGGATTTAAAAAATTTTAAGATTAGATAGTCAAGTCTTAAAGTTTGTTTTGTTTTGTATTTTTTTGAGACAGGGTTTCTCTAAGTAACAGCCTTGGTTGTTCTGGAACTCACTCTGTAGACCACTCTGGCCTCGAACTCACAGAGATCTGCCTACCTTTGCCTCCTGAGTGCCGAATTTAAAGGCATGTGCCACCACTGGCCAGTTGAACTGAAAACATTTTGATTTTTGCCTGTGAAGATTAAACATTAGCATAGCTTCAGTGCAATACCACTTGGCCATAAAGAAAACTTTGCCATACGTGAGCTCCCTGATGAACATGGAGGATATTATATTTAAGTGAAATAAACTAGGCAGGAAAAAAAATGTTCCTGAATCAGACAATGGTGACAATTATGTAACTATACAGTCAAAATCAACAAGTGGTATACTTTCAATACATGAAAAAAAGTAATATATCTCAAATGTTTTCACAGATGTCAAGAATGCATTCATTCTTCAAGGTCCAATGCATGAATGGATCTGTGCTACTGAGGCGGCAGACGACAAATTCCTCTGGTTGTCTGCACTCCAAATGGCAATCAGAAGCAGTATGAAGTAAAACTAGACTCAAAACAGACAAGAGGGTCTTTGGAAAGTCATATACCAGGTTTCCTGCTTCAGAACATCTAGTAAGAAGCACACAGGGAACAGTCATGGATGTGGGGAGATGACAGAGCTAGGACCGCCTGTGAGGTTTCTTCCAACTCCTAGGGATGTGTGATTAAGTTTTGCGGAATGTGTTAGAAGAACATGTATAAGATTTTGAACTATATCTTTTGGTAGCTACTGCTCACAGAGGCTATTTAAAACAATTTGACCTATGTAGATTTTAAAAGTGAGTAATGAAAAATCAGAATGAACAATGTTTCTTTCACGAGCATTCTAGAACAATACTTGAACTTGTTTGTGATTCACAAATCAACATCAACTTTTCATGAAGCAATTAATGATTTTTAAGGGTATGTCTGAGAAATATAATTGGCAGCCTTCTAAAGCAATGTCAAATGTGAGTGAAGTCCTTTTTAAAGCATTAGAATATGCCATTTCAAAATACCAGAACGTTTAGTGGGTTTTGTTTGCTTTCTGTAATTTTTACTTTTTAAGACCAAATTCTGGCCGGGCGGTGGTGGCGCACGCCTTTAATCCCAGCACTTGGGAGGCCGAGGCAGGCGGATCTCTGTGAGTTCGAGACCAGCCTGGTCTACAGAGGTTCCAGGACAGGCTTCAAAAACCACAGAGAAACCCTGTCTCGAAAAACCAAAAAAAAAAAAAAAAAGACCAAATTCTTAGATCTCCCAAATAACCCCAAATTTTTTTTAAAAATAATATCAGAAATGCAGTGGTAGGAGAATCCAATTCTTAAATAATGAAAATTAGTGAACGGGACTAGAGCTCCATCTCACTGGAGCCCACATGTCAGACTATAACCTCTCACTCCAGTTCTGGGGAAACTCATCATCTCTTTGGCCTCCACGGGTGCCAGGAATGGACAGTGCACAGAGATACTTGCAGGCAACACATACACACACACACACCCATAGAATTAAAATAACCTGTAAAAATGAATGGAGATTGTTTTATTCCAGGCTCAGGACCCAGAGACTCCCGCACTGGAATGGGCCCGAAGGCCTCCTCCCTAAGGACTAGCTTTCCAAGTACCCAGAAGGTGCCAAATAAGCTTCCAAAGGAGGGAAGCAACCAAGAGTCTCCCTAGCTATGATGTCTATGAGATACAATGACCAGCATGGCATGATGACCCTAAGAGTGCAGCTTTGGCATGTGTACCTGAGCAGTATCAACAGCTAATTGTAGTTAAGACCACCTTAAGAAGAAGGAAACCAAGGCCAATACCGGAAGCCTAATCAGGGCTAGTGACGTCATGAATCTTGGAGGACAATCTACAACCACCACTTTACTAAACCGGCATAATCCCTAGCTATATTCTAAAGATTTGCCCTTCTAGTCACAGACAAGTGTGGTCATCCCTCAATAAGGAAACCTTTCTTTGCAACAACTGGAATCACTGTAGAAAACCACAACCAATCAAATAGCAGATTTATAGAATCCAGTCCCAATGGACTCATCTACAAAACATCCCCAGAACCTAAGGCTGAGAGAACACTGTGGAAGGCAGGGGTTACAAGAGCAGGGGTTGTAAGAGCCAGAGGATCGGGTTAGTTTGCTATGTGAATGTGTCTCCCAGTAATGTCACAAGCTACACCCATAAAGTCTCACCAACATGACTGCCTAAACAGGAGCCGAACAAGGATGACTACAATAGACGTGTCAGAGTGGGTGGTGAAAGATCATCAGGCCCCAACCCTACACAAGAACTATAGACAACCGCGGGGTGCTGAGAGAGGGAGAAAGTCTTCCCCAGGGAAGACAACAATTGGATATCCAGTACCAACTGGTCAGCCCTGAAAACATGCACACAAATAACACAGAGGGTATTTACATGAGAACTGGTTAGTGTAATAATAGGAAAATACAATGTTTAAATTCTATATATTTTAGCCAGAATTTTAAACTGAGAATTAGAAATTATAGTTTCAGTAAAATATATTTAAGTACCCTGAGTTCGCAATCATATACTGTACAATAGGTTTAATTACCATAATACATTATGAAACAGAAAGTAGCAGAAGTTTTTTTTTCCATTTTTCTTTCTTTATTTATTTTTAAGACAGGGTTTCTATCCCTAGCTGTCCTGGAACTCTGTAAACTACGCTGGCCTCAAACTCATAGAGATCTTCCTGCCTCAGCCTCCAAAGTGTTAGAATTAAAGTCATGCATCAGTCACTATGCCTAGCTACTTCTAGTTTTTGAGATTATGGTATAATTTTATCATTTTCCCCTTTCTTCCTTCTAAACTTCCCCCTGAACCCCTCCTTGCTATCTTTAAATTCATGGCCTCATCTTTCATTGTTATGTGTATGTCTACATATGTGTATATACAATCATATTCCTAAATGGCACCCTGTTAAAGTGCCAGCAGTTAGCACCTCAGTCCTGCAGAGAGCAGTAATGTTCTGAAATGGCTTTCCCACTCCTTATGTAATGCTTTTATCCTTTCCCTTCACCTCCAGGGAACAATGAAAAAAGACCTGTCTTCATAGTTCGTAAGCTTACACCACTCCTGTTGAATTACACCCTTACATAAACACACACAAATAGTAAGTCACGGGTGAAATTGGTCAAGAAAAACATGAACCCTGACCCTGAGTTGGCATGTGAAGAAGGAAAGCTTCTGAGAAACACACCAGGCTCCTGAATCAAACCCTGTATAAAATTCTGTATATAGGGAGATGTTGACAGGTTGATATCGTTTTCCCTTTGCAAAGTTTTCTGAGTTTGTGCTTAATGAGATGCCCATTTCTGCAAATGCAATCATGGTGTGGTTTGCCCACGGATGATGAGGGCCTGTATCACTGCTATGTACTGTTATGGCACAGAAGGGTGAGGCACGCCAACAAACACAATGTATCCTCCAGAAAAAGTCCTCCTAACCCTTTTATTGTTGAAATTAAAAAATAAAAGATACTTAAATACAATGGTGAACATATAGGGCAAAACAGAATCATAAAATTTAATGTTCAATTAAGCAGTGAGCTGAATGTTTGGGTTTCCAAATAGGCTCTGAACCCAAAACTGCTTCCAAATAGGCATGTTCACAGTTAACGGCAATTGGCTTATAGGTGAGAGAACGGTCGAAGTTGTTCCAGTTGAACTTC